GCGGCGATGGACTATCACAAATGTTACAGGTTGTCATGTAGTACTATATCTATCAATAATGTTTGAACTCTGTGCCAGTGGAGGGTTATAACTCATCGCTAAATTAGAGAGAAGGCTTGTGAGGGGGATATTAATTGCTAATTCTTTGGTATGCGGGTAAACTAGACCAGTTGTTATTCGCCGATGTATACATCAAGCGTATATTAAAAATTCGACTTTACAGGTAAAGGGTCAATATGGAAAACGCACTTTAATAGAAGGCATCTGCAAGCGCTGTCAGTCCTTTGATGCGGCTGAACGAAGGCAAAAAAATAATAGCCTTCGAGAAAGGACTGTCTGCACCAATTTCCCGTTTACTATATACCTTTTTATGTAACCTTTCAGTATTAGAGGTAGTGGAGCACCATGATTACGATTGAAAACCTTAGAATAAGCTAGCAAACTACTCGGAAAAACGGGGTTTTCCGCTATGCTGAATAAGTGCAGATGGAAGAGTTGTCATCAAGGAGGGGGCTTAATAATGGCAACTACATAGTCCTTTACCCGCTAATTTGTCTTTGCACGAAATCGCGTATGCTGCAAGTCTCTGGAACTAGAAAGCCCTTTAAATTCTGTGGAAAAAGAATTTTTTCGAGTAAATGCTTTTTAGCAGCTACAACATGACAGTGTTGCCATATATTGGAACATTTGCAGGTTCTCGCGCAGCCTTTGCCTCTATAACTCTACCTCCAGGAAACGGTTCTGCATCTCTGTATAGCCCATATTATCAACAGATCTCAATTCAGGTCTGACATTATTCATGCAACAATTAGGCTTACTCTAGTTAAAAAAAAACGAAGCTAAATTATGCCCGATTTGGGCATGGCATTTACAAAAAAACAGGAACAAAAACTTGAAGTAAACTGATATCCTGTAGTATGTGCAAAAGTAGGAAAAATATATCGCAATACCTTAGAAAGTTCTTTAAGAAAAAAATAGAATGAATATGCAACATTGGAAATCTTTATTTCGTTCTGGAACTGGTTATAAAGTTCTGCAGACTGTTTCAGTGTGTATTGGAATTCGCTTATCGTCTGAACAGCGCTCCTCACTCTTCTATCGTTGTGACTACAGAATTTCTGCAGTCAAGTGGTAATTTGTAAATTATTTTTG